CGCGCGGCGGGCACAAGGGTGGTGGGAGGGCTCCCGCCGTGGGGCCCGGTGGTGGTGGCCGGTGGGGTGCGGGCTGGGGGCGCGGGTGGGGGCGCACGCAGGGACGTGGTCCCCCTGCCAGCGCCCATCGCAGCTCCTTTCCCTCTCCTTCTCGGCAGGTGGAAAGCAGTGACACCCCCAAAGACATCGCAGCCATCCCCAAGTGCCCTGCGCCCTGCCCGGAGGCCAGCCCTGCCGAGCCGCTGCCCAACGGGGACGTGGAGGGGGACAGTGCCCAGTGGAAGGGCGCGGAGGAGGGCGGCGCGAGCCCCAAGGGCGGGCGCCCCGAGGAGGACGAGACGGAGAGCCTGCCGGACGGCGAGACGGGCCGGGCGCTGGAGAACGGCCGCTGCACCCCCAAGGAAGGCCTGGACGCCCCGGCCGATGAGGGTGAGCTGGCCCCTTCCGACCCCCAGAAGAAACGCGGGAGGAGGAAACTCCTGGAGGCCGCAGAGAAAAGTAAGACCTTAGCGTTGAGGGCTCCCCGCTACGGGGCTGCGGCTCTGCCCGCGGTCCCGCCGGCATCCACTGCGCCCCTCTGGGGACCCCCGGCCCCCACCGCCCTGCCCGGCATGCCATCCCCGGGAGGGGCCCGGGCTGCAGCAGCTCCCGGGCTGGGGAGCACTGCCTCAGGAGGAGGAAGACGGGCTGAGCCCCTCCGTGCCACCGGGGATTTGGGGTGGGGGCAGCAGATCAGAGCGGGGGGCTGCCCTCGCATGCTCGTCCTGTCACGCCGCCCTTCCCGACGGGCTTCGCTCCCCCATTAGGAACAGGGCGGGCAGGAGGGGAGGTCGGTCCTCGTCCTGCCAGCGCAGCCAGTGCAGGTGCCCTGTGGCACAGGCGTGCCCCTGCCTGCGTGCGAGCCTGCCCTGGCGCGTGCCCGCCGCCGCCGGTGCTTGTGCCGCTTTGCATGGCAGCCCTGCATGTGCCGGGGGCAGAGCGGGAGGCGCGTGCATGGTGCGGTCCTGGGGCCACGCTGCCCTGGTGCCGAGGAGGTGCCAGCTCCGGTGCCGGTGCTGCTCTGGGCGTTGCAGGGAGCACGCGAGGCAGTGGGCTCAGTGCCGCGCTGAGGATCAGCCCCAGGCACCAGCACGTGCTGGGAGCACCCAGCTCGGCAGAGAAGGTCCCGGGGGTCCCGGTGGACACCAAGCCGAGCATGAGCCAGCAGCGGGTCCTTGTGCAACGACAGCAAATGGCGTCCTGGGCTGCGTTGGGAGTGTTACCCACTGGTTGAGGAGGCCACCCCGGGAGTGCTGGGGCCAGTGCTGGGCTCCCCAGTACAAGAGAGATGCGGACAGACTGGAGAGAGTCCAGCGAGGAGCCACCAAGGTGCTGAGGGACTGGAGCATCTCTGCTGTGAGGAGAGGCTGAGGGAGCCGGGGCTGCTCGGCCTGGAGCAGAGGAGGCTCAGGGGGACGGCATCCATGGCTACAAATACCTGCAGGGAGGGTGCCAAGAGGACAGAGCCGGGCTCTT